AGTAAAAGAAGTTTAACTCTTATTTTATGGTCACCATAAAGAGTAATTTCTTCCAAAATGATCAAGTTCTTGGATGCTACCAGCATAAGATGTAAGTATAATGTTGACAGATGTCAACAGATCAAGATCAACAGACCAAAATGTGTATTTTCTATAGTACACTCATCGAAATATCCAAGCAGCTGCTTTGAAGTATCTCCCTTTTATTTTTTTTTCTGTTTTTTGAGCATGTCGAGACGCAGACTAACTAGATGGTCCGACAGTACCTCCGCCGGCTGAGCGGTGCCACCAACTCCAGATGAGCCGGCACTCGCCGGGTGCTCGGTGGTCCCCTCCCCAATTATGTTCCCCCAGATTCATACTATAATGATATAACGATAAAGATCTAGTCAGAAACTGTTATGTCAAAGCAAAGGAAAGAAACGTAGAGGGACAAGTTAAGAGAACAGCTAACTCTTCGAACTTGACAAGCACTTACATAATTCAACAGACCGCGATTTGAAGTGGTTTGAGTAAAGGGAAAGACTGTCAACAAAAGCTACAAAATTTCGTAAACCCTCTTCTCAAATGCAGAAATGATTTCAAAATCATCTTGGCGCGAGATTTCACCCGAAAGAGGTAAACAAAATTTTGATGAATTTACCCTTTACAAATAACATAACAAACTGAAGTTTTATCACTTGAGCACTTAGCTTAGCTATATAAACAATCCGGGAACGATGACGCTTAAAATGATTTGCGCTGCGAAAAAGGACTTGCGATTTATCCTTATTATACTGTAGTTAAAACGCTCAAATCTCCTTCAATAACGTAAAATCTTCGCAAATGACAAATTTTCGTCAGAAAAGCTCAAACAAAAAAAGGAATCATGCTTGAGAAAACTTTACGTCATGTGTGTTTAGTGTGAGGTATGGTCAAATTTGCATTAGAACTAGATCTTAGCGGCATACACAAAAGCGTTGACGGGAGTAGTCAGAAGGACTAGTAGCGGCACAGCTTTGAAATCAACCGTTTGATGGTGGTTAGAAATTTCGGTGAGGAGGGAGAGGGGGGGGGGGGGGAACTGGGTCCTGACACGAAGTAGTGGGTCTTTGGAGGGTGCTCCTCGACAGTACAGAACTTCGTTATCTCCGCCTCGGGATCCAAAACTTTCTAGCGGCCAAAAGCCACAAATTGACAGACGATCTAAAAAATTTACAAAGAAAACACACTCTAAACTATTTGTTTTGGTTTTCGAATGGAGCGCGATTTCTTTCCTGAAACCGGAACTCGCAAAATATATTCTACACCAGACTTTTACCCAAGAAATGTTTCCAGAAGCAACTGCTATCCTCGTGCTAGATTCAAATGGTTTCATAGGTTTGAAAGTAAATTAAGCTAGAAGCATACCTGCTGCTTGTCGCAAAAGTTTCGGAAGCATTGACAACTATTTTTAGAGACGATGCGGGGGAAAAAATTCTTTCAAAATGCTGAACTATGACTTGTGAGCGCAATGTTTGTATGCACAACAGCTACGAGCAACCAAGCACTTGACAAAAGATGACAAAAGACTTGGTAAGAATAGCGACAACAGTACCATCACCCCCAACTATCTTTTTATCTTTTCCTTGGATCGTCTTAGCCTTAACGTACTGTGCTCTGGTAGGCTTGCACAATAACATGAGTGTTTTCTCCAACCACAGCCCTTGGTACACGTCTATTTCATTCATTCATTTATTTGCTAGGAGAATCAAAAACGAAAAGGAAGATAAGATGATATGTCAATATCTCCATGGAGTAATTTGAAATGCCTTCGAAGTATCAGGTTGATGCATAAGTTTTGCAATAATTTCCAAAACTTTGCTCATTTTGATCTACCACACTCAAAAGTCGGTATTATGCAGATTGTGATGTGAGGTGCCCAAATTTTTGATTTTGAAGTATGATTTCTGGGGGAAAAGAAAAAATCTCGCGCTTTCCAAAAGCTAGTGAAAACCGAAATTGTAGGCAAGGTGCTGTTATAGAGATTACTTCTAACAAATTTTCAGCGAGAAAAGAGTTATAGGTTCAAAGGCACTGTCCACCCTAAGTCAGGGGTCTTGAGCTTCTGGCAGCTTATAATAGTATTGCCCCTATCAAGCCAATGCCCAAGCCGCGGCGCAAAATGTCGCTTCGGTAGCGAAAAGCCGCTTTAGAATGGCGAAGATGCATAAGGGTAAAGTCGGCACCGCCTTCCCCGGTAATGTCCGCCCATCCGTGCGCGCCCAACCAATCACCGTTCCGGAAAGTCTGCCTGCGGGTTCTCCGAAACGGGGATTGTAGGGGATTTCGCGGATTCACGACTTCATAGTCGGAATCAGGGACATGAGAAGGCCCAGGAACGATCGAAACATGGAAGTCGAGAAGCTGAGTGGACGGTGCCTTTATGAATGGAAATGTCAGACTTTGCCCATTTTTTTGCCTAATGGGGTGATTTAACCTGCTAAACACAAATATCCAAGTATATTAAATAGCCAACCTAATATATACAGGTGAATGGTCTTTAACTTTTTTGAGGATTTGGTTGGTTTGGTTGGTTGGTTTGTCGCAAACTCATGTACTAACCCAACAATTTCGAGCAATCACTGAGTTTGTTCTGGAGATTAAAAATTATTCAATACCATGATTATAAGCTGATTGGAATTATATCTCCGCAGGGGGACACGTTCCCAACTAATACTAATTAACACGTGGTGTTTTGAGATAAATCACTACTTACGTTTTCAAAGTAGCACTTTACTGACTTTTTTCTAGAGTTAACGCAGACACAAACTATACCTTTCAATCGGTTAAGCACAAAGACATATGTAAGCACATTCTAGATTTTTTGTGACACGCTTTTCGTTTAGATAATAGATAAGCCGACGTACAGACGATAAATATTAGTATCAGAAGATAGAAAATTCAAACAATTCAATCGTAAATATGAGAATCATTGGAAGTATCACATGACTAGTCCGCCATAATAAACCACGCAAAAAATGATTTTCAAGAAGTATAATAGAATGGGCAGAACTTCAACGGGTAATTTTCGATGATGGCGCTGGATTGCACATGTGAGGGATCAACTTATCTACAGGATGTTTCAAAAGTCCTGTGGCCTCGTATTTTATATAATAAAAACAATACGGAACTGCGCAGAGATATAGAATTTAGAGCTCGCATTACTGAAACATTAGCAAACGCAATACAATGCTCGGAATTTTGTTCTGTCGCTTAGAAAATGCGCGGTATGATAGAGCAAGCTTCCAGCTACAACATAAACATACTGTGAAGAAAAAGCTTCTTACATTTTGGAATTGAAACCATGGGAATTTCAACGCGTGCATGCGTAGGCCTCACGCTGGAGGTTTTGGACACAACTGCGGAAAATCAGAACATGCAATTGGCTACAATGTGTTGTAAAACCAAGTTTGTCCTTCAAGTTGAACTAAATTCTCATCTAGAAGACATATGGAGAAAAAAATACTTCAGATCCAGTGACTGCTTCACCTCTATAAATTCAAAATTAATTTCAGATATAGTGGCCGCCCAAACTTTCCAATTTTTTGCCTGCCTCGATGGAATAAATTTTTGAGCGCAGCTCAGTGATAGTAGTGCAAAACCTCCTCTATAAGGTGGACATAAGATTGTATCAATATGTTCCAAATACTTCAAAATATGGAATAAGTTGTCCGAGAAATTAGATTTCTGCGGCTCTCAACAAAGTCATGGTTTAGTGATTCCATTTTCTTCAAAAATATGTAAAAATTATTTTGGTCTCGCAAGAATGTATGTTGTAAAGGATGACTGCATTATTCTGTGCCATAATAAAAATGAAACTACAAGTGATCCATAAGCTATAGCGACGCAAACTTAGGCTACAAGATTGGGACCTCCTGCACATCTTAAGCTTCCAAAAAATACGCGATCTCATTTGAAACGGATAAATTCAAAAATTTTATAGTAGCTGTATGGAACTAATCTAAGCGCTCCAAATCAAAAAAAAATTTAGCAAAATTTTGAGAAATGTATAGGAAATAGAAAGTATGACTTGGAATTCTAGCTCGGTAAGCCTGCGATCGGATAGACGCAGCAACGGCTAGATCAGTTTACAAACCCGAGCGACTCGGAAGCAAACCGTCCGCCTACTCATGCATTAGCGAAAACTTGAAAAACTTATTGTAAACAAGCTAGGAGAGCAGAAGATAAGATCTATACAAACTTCAAGCAACTCGTAGCCCCACCCATTCCTGCAGGATATAAGTGGTCGCGAAAAAAGAACTATACACTCTGCTGTCGAAGAAGCTGGTGGAGCGAATGTTTTTGGGGGCGAAATTTCAGAAATTACTACAAATACAGAGCGGTACGATTCTGAGCAAAAATTTCACTAATAGGGAAAAGAAGGCGTGGGAACACGAAAAGTTACTTTATGTTGAAGACTGTAAAGCGCTTAGAATCTTTATTTTCGCAAAATATAAAAAAAACCTGCATTTGTGCATTTTTTGTCTGTTCGGTGCAAGAAATATTTTTTGTTATATTGAGATGAAACATTCTACAAAGCTGAGAAGTTCTGCTTGCAAAATGTGGAACTATTTTGCCAAAATGTGGAACTATTTTGCCATTTGGAAGGGCAAGTTCTCCGTAAATTTCAAGACGATCTGATCCTTGGGCCGCAATCACGGACCGGCCAACAAAAAAGGCAATATGGTGGTGTCAGAGCTAGTCATTGATATGATTGATGGGCAATGGCTCCGCTTAGTTTTGCAGAAACTCATAAAATAAAAAATCACTTGAGTTGTACAATCACCGAGTCGAAGGAAGAGGAAGGCCACACGGCGGAGAAAAATGCTGCATAAAAATCAATGCACTTTTTATTTCCGAGGGTAGAAAAAGAGCTACGGCAGAGCTGTTTCTCATAAAAGAGTATCTGGGTAGATTTATGAGGCACGTTAAATCCTTGCAAAAGAGGAGGGGGGGGGGTAGAAATATTATTCACTCACCGTCATCATCACACTGCCGTTCGGTAAATTGTACATATTCTGTACTCGAATAACAATCACCTCCTCCAAGACGACTTGGCATTGTTGTGGAATTCGATAGGGAGCCTAAAAAGTTGAGATTTCATTTGTAAGTCCAAGCTGAGGTAAATGATATGTTACTTTCAACCATTATTTAGGAAATGAAGAGGGCCAAGCAGGAAATTGAATAGGATCGCGATTTAATAGAGGAAATCGGCAAGGTCTATGGGGAAAATTGTGAAGTAGTTAAGACTGATTCGAGCCTAGCACCAGTTTGGAGTTATTTTATACTTTTGATGAAAAATATGGAAATCCAAAAGAACGGAGGGTGTCGAATAGCAAAAAATTGTCGTTTTCGAGCAAAATTTGTATAGGACTATATGTCGCCAAAAGTGGAAGGGCTCCCGCATGGACTATGCAGCAGATACTCAGCCTGTGCATGTATTGAAATGTGTATTTGTTGCAGATGTCCGGCGGGACCTCCCCCCCCCCCACTTTCGCCGACTTATAGTCCCCTACATCAAAATTTTGAAATTTTTTTCTTGTACGTTAAATGCCTTGGCATGTGAGCACGTAAAAATGCCAAAAAAAGTTCCCCCGCACTGTTCAAGAGGTAGAGAACATTACGTCCCCATAGGCTTCGCCCGCGCAGAAGGAACGGACTGCAACGTGTAACAATGCCTGACTTGTGACAGATGCCCTGTAGGAACATCTACCACAAACCAGGCACTTTACGGGCGTATCCTACAGGCGCTGCGTGTTCTACCCGCGTTTTTGTACAACAGTGGGTCCGACTGATAAAACAGCACTTGGTCCAACGCGATGTCTTGCGCACTGTGCTCATTTCCTGAAGGAAGTGGTACAGAACCCATGGATCTTCCAGCTTTTACGTAGGCGTTTGTAAATTGTATTGTATAAGGGAGGGGGGGGGGGGAACGCCCGGGGGCCATCCCGAAATTATGCCGACCCGGCGAAATGATGTTCTGCATCCGATTTTGAGTGATTGTTTGAGTTAAGGGACCCTATATTTTTGAAAGGCATTGCCCGGATAATCTCATTGTCATGTTTCTTATCATTCCGTAGAGTTTCATAAACGTTTTGAGTCCAAGAAACCGAAAATGGAAGTTCGGAATGGGCTTGGTTTGCAAGCCGGCCATTTGAGAAGCACGATTGGCTAGAACAGCTTATCAGCCAGTCGCCATCGAGGTAGGCGGAGACTCACGCGCCATCCAATCATAGATAGACAGCTGACTTCATAGCACGCCCAAATATGGTCAAAACAAGGTATTTTCCAATAAATCGAGGACTTTATGGACATTTCCAACTCTAAGTGCAGGTTCACAATGAAGGAAAATTATGAAGACGAAACCTACATGGAAAGCGACTCTAAATTCCGTTATTGCTCATCCGGAAGCATCACAGTGAATAAACAATAAGAATGAGGTGCCTATCAATGACAAAAATTGTAAGAGCCGCCGAAAAGTTCCGGGAAATTACGGCTTAAGAGCTACGATGTATTAAGTGGCTGAGGCGGTAGCTTACTGTAAAAACGATTGCGCAACTGGTTCAATAACACTTACGATGAAGTACATGAAGTAGGGCGATAAAGAAGAGCCTTCCTATCAGAAATGTAAAGCTCCGTAAACGAAAAAACCGCGCAACATCTCGAATTTCTCGAGATTCGATAGAGATTTCTGTGTAAGCATGGAAAAGAAGTAAATTTTGGATTCTTGTGGGGTTCAGGAAAACTGGGATAAGCAAAAAGTGTAGTAGAACTTACCTAATGATCTGAGGGTTTCAGTAGGGTGTAGTCGTGACAAATTTGGACTACTTTCTCCGAGTTTCTGATTCGGCACTCGCAAATGGTTCTCACTGTGTTTCCTCGGAGTTCCGTGTATGGTATTGTAGTTATTGTAGTTGATACTCAAGCAAGTTTCGTCAGTGGGCCTGAAACTGGGAACATTTAGGATGAGAGAACGACAAGATGTCCGATGCTAATAAGAGCAATAAACGATTGTATAGAGCTACCAGTTTGAGTGATAGGACGTGCATAAATGCCTTATAATCCTAGATGCCTTGTTTATGTGATAGAGGATATTCATTCTAGGTAGATTATAAACTTCTTTGCACATCAGCATGGCCAATATCTCCTTATTTTGAATCGTTAGTAAAATCAAATTAATTTGAAGTTTTTTCTAAACTTTTGGTATCTCCTTCATTTCAACACAATTTTGTTAGAGTTTGAAAGCTTCTTTGCACTTTAGTCTAATACAAAGTTCCATAGAACTGCAGCGTTCATACTGTAAAATGGGACAGTCATTCGCTGCGGGACCACCTCATTAGAAACAGTCTGCAGACAAGCTGTTCGCTTATCTCGTGTTTCTACTTATTCAAACTTCTGGTAACTGAAGAAAATGTGCTCTAAAGATGCAAAAGAGTCAGCGATGTAGAGAGTAAGAGACAAATTCGTCCGTTTACTCTATGTCGTTTGAATGGGTCGCAACGAACCTTGTTTAGATAATTATCGGTTATGGACTAAAGTAGGCATACAATAATTGACATGCGAGCCGTCCTACTGTAGTTTACGTAGGGTAACAAGCGGTAACAATTCGCTGCGGGACCTTATTCGAGAATAACGCAAAGCGGGACAGGTTAATCTATGACGAACAAGCATGCTTCTTTTTTTCAAGTAAGACCCCTTGCGGAAGGTTCTATGGGTCCCAGGCCCACAGAAATCCCTTTGGCTCCCAAAAGGAAAAGCTTTTAGCAGATGCTAATGTCAGATTTGGAATAAGCATTTCGAGATGGTCCTATTGGTATGCGTTTGGAATGTCAGCGCAAATTTTTTCTTGTAACGAATGCATGGATGTTACGAGTGGGTCAAAATTTTCAATAAATGATCCAGTTGAAGAACTACGTAATGAGGAAACAATGAATTGATGAGAAGTGAGAATGAGAGAGAAGAAACCTTCGGATGGCTTAACATTCCCCAGCGCTACAAAAGAGAACATATCCACATGCAACTTTGAAATGTCAAGAAAGAGTTCCTAGAATTTGTCCTCGAAGAGGTGATCTTCATTACTACCGACCTTTAAAGGACAAAAATGTGGGAAAAAACGATCCTTGACACAGTTCTACAGTTAGTGACAATCAACAATTTCAATAATTCGCTCATCATGCTGTAAGGAGATCCTGGCACTCTTAGTTGATTTTTCCAATTTAAGGTCACAAAAAATTTCAAATTCGCACTGGTTTATGGTGCCTGGTAAGTTCCCATTTAACTCTGGGTAGGAATGTCTTGGGCCATGCGGACGTGTAAATTTTCTAAAGTACATGCTAGTGGTACTACTAGTACGAAGAACGACTAGCACTTGTTGTCCACCACGTGTTCCGAAATTCCAGAAATACCTGGCCTGGGTTTCACGATAATAAACTTAGTGACGTTGATACAGCTGTTCTACTGCGAACAAGCGGAGTGTAAAACGATACTTGTATAATCAAACTTTCCAAAAAACACTGCTATCGATGGTGCTACTTGTTTTGGAATTAGTTATCATCACCCGTTGAGGGCCAAAAATCTTTTCAGCAACATATAAAACATAACAACTGATAAACAAAAGCCACACATAAACACGTGCCAGAAAAACAAGTGGTCTCAAAGTAAGCAGTTGGGTGAAATATTAATTGTTTATTCTGGATGAGTGTCTTGAAAAAAAATGTAAAACACGATAGGTTAATCCCCTATTTTTATCAAAATTATGGAAGTGATCAAAAATTTTTTTCGTTTCAAGTCCATGTTTGGAAAATTGGAAGAGGAAATCCGACACTTTTGCTAAAATTATTTTTGTAGCAGTTTAAAAAGAAAAAGTCTATATTGTTCAGTTTTGTTTGAGCCGTAATTTTTTAACATGCCAAGGTTCAAAAAAAGGAGACACACAAAAAAGTCCAGAATTGCCTCTTAAAGCTAGTTCAGCAAATGACTCGCCGGAGTTCTCCCACACCTTCTGCGGAACTTCCGTCAGTTATGCGAAAATTGGATATTACACGTTGTCTTATTATAACGTAAGGTGCCTGCTTACAGAACATATATCAAAACGAAACCAAAGAATGTAAATAAGAATTTTTTCATTTTTATTTTCGAGACTTCCAAGAAGATAGATATTACATATGTTCATTAAAATTTCAATTTTCAATAGAAAATCTCACCGCTGAACTATTATATAAACTATTACGTATAAACTATAATATTAGGTGGTCCCGAAAGTTCTTTCGCACTATTTTCAAAAATTTATAACTTCTAATTTTTTAACCGATTGACTGCCTTTATTTTTGTGTGAAAGACTAAGTCATGCTCTTTATAAAGACTTCTTATCTGCTGACCAATGTTCGTCTGTTGCATAGATAGGAGCGATAAAAGAAAATTGGTCAAAATTTGAATTTTTCGTGTAGGGTTATAAAAAATAGGAAACTTGCAACAAAAATCGGAGCAGTCGGTATTGTATATTCTTTCACCAGTTCTTTCTAACGGTGCAAAGTTTGCGCCGATTGAGCGTCTCTATAGTAACGATTTTCGAGCAAAGGGCGAATTTGATTTATTTTGGAATTTTTCAGGGAACTCATAACTTTTCATAGAGACGCTCAATCGGCGCAGACTTTGCACTGTTAGAAAGAGCTGGTAAAATAATCTACAATAACTACTGCTCCGATTTTTGCTGCAAGTTTCCGATTTTTTATGACCCTACACAGAAAATTCGAATTTTGACTAATTTTCTTCTATCGTTCCTATCTATGCAACAGATGATCACTAGCAAGCAGCTAAGGCGTCTTTATAAAGAGCATGACTTACCCTTTCACATAGAAATAAAGGCAGTCAAATCGGTTGCAAAAATCAGAAGTTATGAATTTTTGAAAATGGTGCGAAAGAACTTTCGGGACGACCTAATATATATATAATATTATATTATATAATTATCATAGCTACTAAACCAATATCTGTTCATTAGGAAGAAGAAATGGTAAAGAAGAGGCTTACTCGCAAAGTCAGAACAAAAATAGTTTGTTGAAATTGGCAGACTAAGCTGATTAGCTGACTATCAATTGAGCTGTCAAAACCAAGCTAAAATTATTTCTAAACTAAGCACTTTCGAAATCACAAGAAGTGCAGTCATATGATACTAATAGATCAGTGAGCTCGACAACTGAAGAAGATTGACAGAACATGACATAGTACTGGTGGCGGTGGCAAAAATTAGATTTTAGAGACAGAAGCATTACTTCTAGAAAATTTTTTGGTATAATAAACTTTTTGTGTAGTCGTAACACAGAAATCCAAGAAACACATTACATTAGTACGAAACAATTTCCAACAGTGTTTTTTACGTAAGATTTTGTAACTCGCAAGAATAAAGCCGAAATTTCGCGACCTATTCTCAGAGTACATTCGTACTTTGCCTGACAGATTTTTCCCACACAAAAAAATGAAGGCTATAAAGAGGTTGGACAGCGAAAAAAATCGTGTACCTAGAACGGCTCCCAGCAATAACGTTTATGGACTTTACAAAACAGCTAATAAATTTGAAGGCGACTTTTTTTTCATGCAGTTTCAGCTGGAAAGATAATCATGAGAGTCAAAGTGCATAGATGATTGCGAAGTAAAACATGGAAGTAGATATGAACATTTTGGTAGAAACAAATTTCAGAGTTTATTTTCAAAACTTATTTCGATATTAGGTTGCTCATAGTGGGCCGTAAGGCATATGAAACCTCAAGGATTTTGATTTGTAATTCTGTATGAATTCACGAAGCTATGGCAACCTTGAAAAAATGGACTGAAGATGAATGAGTGCTCGCTAATCAGCCTAGACTTTTGATTTATCTTCTCAGATTAGAAAAACCTCCTTTTTAAGATGCATATTAAACAATTATCACCCCATTTAGCGCGAATGGATAGACAAGCGGGATCGATGAACATCAAAGAAATTCAAAAAATGGAGTCGATAATGGAGACGAATAATTATATCCCCCATACCGGTTTCGAAATGACGAAAATTTTAGGTTCTAAACATTCTGTCAAGATCAATCATAAAAGTGCACTCTAGTGGTAACCACTCCAAACGAGAGTCAAGTGGCCAAGCCCTTCTAAACAATGCTTGTGATTTTTTCAAAGAATTTTTTCGGAGATCGGGACACGGCTGAAGTAATAAAATTGTGGTTGCTTCCTTAACCTTCTTTATTGTCTGTTCAGTCCGAGATATATTCTTTAGAAATCGATAAATATGCGATCCCAGTAAATGTGAAGACAATAATTCACAATAGCACTTAACAAAAGGAACTATGGACCATCCATGAAGAAAGCTTTAGTAAAATACCATTTTTTCAAGCTATTCCTTATAGAAAAATCACTAAACATGAATGCTATGATTTTGTGATTGACTATGTAAATTAGAGGAACAGAGCAGGCCATGCAGTGGCAAAATATCTTTGGAGAGGGGGGGGGGGGGGAAGGGGAGGGGGAGGGGGACGAAGTAATTTAAAAAGAGCTTATACAAAGAACCTTAACGTTGTTAGCCACGCAAAAAGTGCTTTTGGATGCCTCTCAAAAATTTCTTGAAACTCGAAATCTTCAGAATGGATGATGTTGTTTTACTAAACTGATTGATAAAAGTCTATAGAATTATATCAGGGTTCCTCAGATAACAAACAGGTAAGTAGACATTCTCTCAACACATTAAGACACTCTTAAACAAAGCGAAGCTATCAAACTTTGCAAGGAAATTTATAGAATTTGCAAAGCGATGTGTTGCTTTTACACACACACATACACACTCACACTAGCGCCTGTTCAAACAGCTGATTTCATGCGAAGGTGAAAAAGATTAATTTTCGTAAAGGCATGAGACTGCTCGTCACCCCGGGAATGCCGTCAAGGAATTCAAAGGAAATGACGA